GGCGAGGCGGGGCGAGGCGGGGCGGGGCGGCCCGAGGCGAGGCCAAAGGGTGAGGCGCGGAGTCCCGGAGGAGCCCTTGAAGGGCCGAGCGGCCAGTGATGGGGTGATAGATAGCATCAGCAACGCATGCTGACCCCTGCCGAGCAGAGCCCTGCCGGGCCCCTGCCGCTCAAGCAGCAGCCCACTTCCCCTCGGTGCCTTCGGGCGGCGGCTGTGCCGGGCTGTGCCTTCAGCTGGAGCGCCCGGCTGCGGAGGCCAGCTTCAGCAGCTGCCCGCTTCGGCGGCAACACTATAGGATCACTCCGCTCTCCTTCTCCACTTCAGCAGCTGGCGCTGCGCAGCTCGCTTCTATTGGAGCCCGCTTCAGCCCTTCCATTAGCCCCGCCGGGGGCTGTGCTGGCCCGGGCTGGCGAACGGGACGGGGCCTTTTATGTTCCGTGTCAGAATTGTGTTTTATTACAGGAGAGCGAGCGAGAGAGCGAGCGGCGCAGAGAGAGAGAAAGAGAGACGGAGGAGCGATCGGTCAGCCCGCCCGCCTCGATGACTTAATACCCTTCTGTGCGGGGCGCGAACAAGCCAAATCCCTCAATGCCTTTGTGCTGCCCTTGCAAACTGCTAATATTATTAATAATAGTACCACCAATAATCGTATAATAGTACCATCTTGTGTCGTATGTGCTGCGATGTTTGGCCGTGTGGGAGTGTGTCGCAGCCGCAGCCTGGGCTCACTGCAGAGGCGGCATCCCAGATTATACTACATCTAGCTGCACACCGAGAGCTGGGGAGGGGACGGGAGATGGACTGAGGGAGACGGGGGAAGAGCAGAGTTTGAGGGAGGAAGGGAGAGAGAGACGTGGGGTGGAGGAAGGAGTAGAAAGCAGGGGGTGCTGAGCAGTGTCGTGGTGTAGGGCCCGGAGGGGGTTAGTGTCCATAAAAGAATCTCAGTACTCGGTAGGCTGAGTGCGAGTCTTGGCGGGGCGCGGCGGGGCGTGGCGGGGCGTGGCGGGGCCCGGCGGGGTGGGACGTTGCGCGGCGGGGCGCGGCGGTTCAGACAGCCATCGATGGCCGGCAGACATAAAAGCGGCATAACTCAGGGATGAGCCCTGGCGGTGCCCTGGCGGTGCCCCGGCGGCCCGCACCGCCGTGAGGTTGCTCTATCTATTCCCTGCCTGCATTTGCCATAAAAGGCGGGCGGGGCCGTCGCCGCCGCCGCTGGCGTGGAGGGGCGGGGCGGGGCGTGGCGGGCCGGGCGTGCACCACCCTCAAGGAGGATTACTACATTTCACGCTCGTCCGCCCAGCGGCACCAGCGTCATCCCGGCTGTAGCGGCGGCGCTCGGCGAGGCGTGGCGTGGCGGGGCGGGGCGGGGCGGGGCTGGGCGGGGCGGATGCACACAACGGCGGGGCGTTAGCCGGCGTAATGGACCAGAGCGCTTTGATGATGCGTCTTAATAAAAACTAAAACAAAACTTGGAAAAGGGTTAGAGAACAGGTCCTCGAGGAGGAGGAGGAGGACGAGGAGGAGGAGGATGAGGGGTAGGGGGAGGTACGGGCCGCCGCAGCGGAGCGTCTTTGGGAAGTTTCGTCGGTTACTTAGAGTCGCCCATTACGCCGCCTAACGCTTTAATTAATACTTTTAATTTCCGGCGGCCGTGGCGTGGCGTGGCGGGGCGCGGCGTGGTCGCGGAGGACCTCGGGCCGTGGGAGCTCGCCGGCGCGACGTTTGATACAGGAGGCGACTGCGGCGCTGGCGCTACCCTCTTAACTTCCTACAAAGAAATTGGTGTTGTAACTTGCAAAGAAAAGCGATTTCTTGTAAGTTATGTACAAGGCAATGCTGTACTTCGTATTACAAACAATTCTCCTCGTATTACAGAAACCTACAGCCTTCTATCAGAACGGTGCATGAAGATTGTAGTTACGAAGAGTCTTTCCTTTATGACAAAATAATTTTATTTTTGTATATTGTACTTATGTCATTTTTAGTATAATACTTAAAAAGTCACTCAAACACTTCGTACAATATTAAAATAGAGCCTTGATCGATTTTTCACCCCCATATCTAAGCCATCGAAGTCTGGATCTTAAAATAACAGGGTGTGGAAAGGCAATTCGTTTTACGAGATCCTTCGGTGTAGGCAACCAACTCCGCCCCCCCCCCCTTTTTCCTAGGTTTGCCGGACCTGAAACCGTGCCTGCCGGCGTCCTGTGCCAGCGACTGGGGTCGGAGTTCCGACAACGCCGCTCCAGGGCTGCAGGCTTACGCGAGGACTCGACCGGCCGCTGGGCGATCTCCGTGCGGTCCTTCGGTGGAGGGAGGCCGAAGCCTAGGACGCGGCAAAGGCTACAGCGAAGGCGAAAGAGAAAGGGGGGAGGGACGACGACGAAAGATCTGCGTAAACAGACGTCGTCGACGTCCTACATAGTGGTGGAGGGGTGGCGAAGCCGGGCCGGTGCCGGTGCCACCGCCGCCGCGGACGACGATGACCATATCGGTCCTCGAGAGCGGACTAATGCTCCGCCACCGCTCCTGCTCCTCTTTCTCTCGAGGACGCCGCCGACAGTTGTGGGCAAAAGACGTCATCGTCGTCGTCACCCCCCCCCCCCTTTCCTTTCCTTCCTCCCCCGAGGGGCCGCACAACAGGGCGGATTGATACGGTCCCGGTGTTGTGTTGAGCCACCCGAGGCCAAGGCTGGGGCAGTGAATGAATTCTGCCCCCCCTCCCCCCATTGCCACTCTAGTCCAGGACGCCGACGACGTCCGGGAACTCCTGCTGGGTCATGGTGCCCGCGCAGTGCGTCGCCGTGGTCCTCGAGCGCAGCGCAGAAGCCATGGTCTAAACGGACAAGCGCGTGCGCAACTTGGCCCTAATGTTGGGGTTGTGCTGGTGCTGGTGCTGGTGCTGGTGCTGGTGCTGGTGAGGGTGAGGATGGCGTTGTCGAGCACTGCCGAGCCGAAGCACCGCCTCTGCCTGCACGGAGGACGGCTCCAGCCACTCGAAGTGATTCATAAGACGCGGACCGTCTTAGCCGGAAAAGGAAGAGGTTCTCCCGAAATTGAGACTGCTGCGGAGGGAAGGCCAAAACGTTCCAAGCTTCACACTCGCCCCGCAAGAGCGCGCCACTATGTTCCCCTGTCCCTGCAACCGCTGCGCCTCTCGCCTCCGTCACTGTGATCTCGTCATGGCGTCGCCAGCATAGCGTTTATCATATAACTTGAAATACCTTTTCGGTGTCAAACACTTCGATGGCAGTTGGAGCTGTGATGGGATAATCATCTCCCAGAAGTTTTGCTTCATTACCCGTGGAATATTGCATCATCTTTCGGTAGCCAAGGGTTATGGGCAGCTGTTACCATACCAGCCGTTGAGGTTAGGGAGGGACTTCTCCCGTGGAAACTATCATCCCTTAGAGCCTGTTGTAATGTTGCACAAGTAAGTTTTCACCAAAGGCACCTGGTGCCTAGAATGAAAACTCTTTGAAGACTGCAAGTAGTATTTAAATTGTGACTAGTCTTTGCGGACTTCAGTCACACCTAGATTTTGATAAAAGTGTGCGCGTTGAAGTCAACTTATCTAATGCCATATTATCAGGTGCAGCTGGGGGTTCTGCAATACAAAAACCTGTGACTGAAGCAATTTGTGGGATGTAATACGGAGTTCCAATAGAGCAAATAGTTATACGCTCAATTTTAACAGTTAACCGTTACTCGCTCACATCCAAATAATAAATTACTTTATATTATGAAGCTTCGCAACAGTAAATTCTTTTTACATTACCAAAGCTTTCTTTAAAACACTTTTACTATGTACAATACAAAAGAAACGTCTCTTACGAAGTAACTGCTTAGTATTTCACAAAGTGGCTCCTTATTAAGGTTGCGTAAAATGTTTGATTTGTTACCAGTCTCAACCTTTGTAATACATAGATTTTTCTTTGTAGGAAGCTAAGAGTGTACCCTCTCTAACGATACCGTCACGGCTACTTACTCTTGCCCGGAAGGTCTTTTTGCTTTTCCTTTTGGTTTTGACCCTCTTGTTGTTTCCCAGGACGAGGACGGCGACACACCCCTGCACGATGCCATCTCCAAGAAGCGGGACGACATGCTGAGCCTGCTGCTGGACAACACGGCAGACATCACGCTGACCAACAGCAACGGGTTCAACGCCCTGCACCATGCTGCTCTTCGCGGGAACCCAAGGTGAGTTGGCTGGTTGTTGATTGTTTACGGTTGTTTCCTGGTTGTTGATTATCCCCCCATCCCTCCCCCTCCCCCTCCCCCTTCCCCGGTCCCGGATAAAAGACGCTATATACGATTTATGGCGAAGATACCCCTCTTCTCTTGCTCTCCCCCCCCCCCCCTCACAACTCCCTCTATGATGAATGTAAGTCATATAACTTTGAGACTCTTTTCATGAGAGTTGCCGCTCGATTATATGGCAGTGATTTGTGAACCCTTTAAGAGGTCGCTCCGCTGCCGGGCGCCCCTGGCTGGCCCCGCTATTCGGTTCCTCAGAGTCGATCGTATATTTCCTCGAGAGGAATGAGTCGTCCCTTTTGGCAGGCACGTGAAGGGAGGATGGAGAGAATTAGAGAGATATGGAGGAGGAGCCACGGGGGCGCGGGTATAGAATGGGATGGAGGGGGGCGTCGGCGGGGGCCGCGAGGTGGCCAACCCACCCGAGCATATCCTACCCAAGAGGTGGTGTTGGCGAGCCCGGGGGGCAGGGAGGGGTGCGCCAGCAGACTGATTCCGAAGAGCGCTCAAGGGGAGCTGCCCCATGAGTGCGACAAGGATGGAGCTATACGGAAGGTATAGGAGAGCGCTCTTCGGAATCAGTCGGCAGACGGTGAGAATGGAAGGAGAGGTGAGGAACCATGAACTATATCGCCCAAAGATCTATCTTTCTTTTCCTCTGCATTTCTTTCTCCTTCACTCTTGTGTGCCACCCCTCTTTGTGCCGTGTGCCGCCACCCGAGACTGTTCGTGCAGGCCGAAACCACTAGTTTTCTCCAACGCCGAGGTGCTACCACCACCGGGACCATTCCTTAGCCTCCTTTTGTTTTGGGGGAAAACCAACATCACAACAACACTGACAATGCAAGGAGAACTTAGTCTCGGTCTCCGGCACCCTTTGGAGGGCTAATGACTTTCATGTGCCTTTGTCGTAGAGGGACTAAAGTTTTGCACTCATTCCATTTAAACGCAGTTGTGGACCTATACCGCTCATTTCCCAGTTTAAACCGCTAACATTTCCTTAAAAGTGTGTGCGTGTTATGTTGTTTTTTTCGTTTTTTCCTGCACCTAACCTTTTGTACGTTGGGACCTCTTCCGTCATCGTCACGTTGCAGACGTGTCTGGTGGCGGGGTGGGGCGAGGCGGGGCGTGCCGGCGGGGCGTGGTGGTGAGGCGGGGTGGGGCCCAATGTAATAAAGGCCGGGGCCGGCGCGTGCCTGCCCGGCGAGGCCGTCAAGCCCATTGTCTCCCGTCGGAACAAAAGGATGCACTTGAAATACCTGCGTGCGAGCGGCGGCCTGGCCAGCGCTACCGCGCCTGCCTTCTGGTTGCGATTGCGCTGGTTGTGACGCTGGTTGTGACGCTGGTTGTAAGAGGGGGGAGCGAGAGGAAGCTTTCTACGACGCCGGAAGCGCGGCCGCGCCCCGCCCGTGCTGCTGCTGCTGCGCGCGCGCAATGCCCATTGTGGTCTGAGTTATTGTTGGCAACCGGAAGTTACGGTGACGGATATCCGCTATTTTATCCTGGCGCGGCATCAGCAGGAACTAGTTGTTGCAGAGCGGTGTTTGTGGCGGCGGAGGCGAGGCGATAAGGACGCAGCCCCCGGGTACCGCCAGGGTACCACTAGGATACCGCCAGGGTACCACAGCCGCCTCGTTACTTTTGCTTCAGACAACCGCGGTCATTTATTGCCGCCTTTTTCATGTTCAAACCACACTCTTCAGAT